CTTGACTTCATTCCGTTTTCTTGGCATTTCCCAGCCACGATCATGCTCCACAGCTGTGCAGCCTGCAGAACTTCCCAGAAAAATGTAGCTTCAAAATATCTCCTAATCAGAGCCAGGGCAGAAGAAAACAAGTCCACTTCTTTTAGGTGAAGAATGGCAAAGGAGAAGCAACCAACTTCCATGAGGTCTGGCAGCATGATCCAAAGAACTTTTCAAATACAAAATAATAACGTCAGGTTCACCGCCAAAACATACAGTACTTTCACATTTAGATGTTACAAATGTCTTCCTTTTATTTTCACATGTTGTCTTCCTCCCCGCCCCTGAAACACAGCAGTTTTCAATATTTCATAACACATACCCCAAAGTAGCTGGAGAATTTTGATATGGCTTTGGCCCAGCCCCAGAACTGGCATTCGATTAGTATTGAGATTTCCATCTTTGGTCAGAATTACAGCCATGCTGCGTACCCAGAAACATGCATGCTGCTCCCTCGTATTGCAATGTAATAAAACACATCCCATTTAACTGACGTGGTGGATCCTTATTCACATGAAAAGCAACACAAATATATCCATCAAACAAGCAGAACTACTCAAAGAAAATGGCAGACGTTTCTGTGCAGTGAGACTACTGGTGGTATGTTACAGCTTCTTCTGTACCAAACGCCTCCTTTAGAAATTCAGTAAGAGTGCCCGCTTTTCCCTTGCCAAACGCTGGCCTGGTATTTCTCCTGCCAGCTTCCTCCAGATACCGCCCCCCCCATTTGCTCTCGGTACCCCACACCGAATTTTGTAGCAAGCCTCGCTCCAAATCAACCATCGGCGCTGCATCTCCCCACCCAACCATTTTTCTTAGCCACTGATCCAAAAACCAGACTGAACCATTCTTAAGGATAGGACAAGGGAAGGGACAGAAAGGGGTGGGGCAGAGGGTAAAGTGGTTTTTAGGTAAACACAGGAAGTTGCTAGACAACTATCATTTGCATGTGTGTCGTGCCTAGGTAAAGGTAAAGGGACCCCTGGCCATTAGGTCCAGTCATGACCGACTCTGGGGTTGCTGCACTCATCTTGTTTTATTGGCCAAGGGAGCAGGCGTACAGCTTCCGGGTCATGTGGCCAGCATGATTAAGCCGCTTCTGGTGAACCAGAGCAGCACACAGAAATGCCGTTTACCTTCCCACTGGAGCGGTACCTATTTATCTACTTGCACTTTGACGTGTTTTCGAACTGCTAGGTTGGCAGGAGCAGGGACCCGTCGCGGGGATTCGAACCGCCGACCTTCTGATTGGCAAGTCCTAGGCTCTGTGGTTTAACCCACGTCCACCCGCATCCTCTCGGTACCCAACACCTCATTTTGTAGCAAGCCCCGCTAAAAATCAACCATCAGCACTACATCTCCCCACCCAACCATTTTTCTTAGCCTGTTCCAAAAACCAGACGTGCAAATGTCACTCATCCTCCTCATCCCTACCCCCACCCCCAAAAAACACAAGAGGAGAGCCAAGCCTCCTCTTGTGCTGTATAGCCTCCAGTGCTGTATAGCACTGGCTATACAGAGGTTATACAGTCATACCTCGGGTTACAGCCGCTTCAGGTTGTGTTTTTTCGGGTTACGGACTGCCGAAACCTGGAAGTACCGGAACGGGTTACTTCCAGGTTTTGGCGGCCGCGCATGCACAGAAGCGCTAAATCGCACTTTGCACATGCGCAGAAGCACCAAATCGCAACCTGCGCGTGTGCAGACGTGGGTTGTGAATGCTGTGGGTTGCGAACATGCATCCTGCATGGATCACATTCACAACCCGAGCGTCCACTGATATACACATATGACGCGGTTACATGTTCATGGTTAAAACAAGGACAGCTGAACTTGCGTGCTCAGGAATATCAGCTCATTTTGAAGCCCCAACAGCTGGAGCCCGATGCAAAAATCCCAGTTGTTCTACAGGAGAGCTAGCTTTGCCCAGGAAAATTAAATTAAAGCTACTATGTCCTGCAGCATTAAGCGCCGAGCCAGAATTTGTTGAAAGCAAAAGCGAGATTTGAGAAGCAGAAAAATTCAAGGCAGTGCTTGCCTGTGCCACTTTTGCCATCGGTAAATTTCGAAAGGGATCTTTGCGGAGACCAGCGAGACGGAAGCAAACAAACGCCGAAGCACAATGCCCCTTTGAAAAAAGCGAGGTGGAAGAACAGCTACACTCCCCCCCCCCCGCCAGCTTGGGAAAACAAACCAAAAAAAAGAAAGAAAAGCATTCATTTCCCCCCTCTTGAAACTTCAGCACTAAGAGCTGCATATTGGAGTCAAAGGGAAGGCCAAGCATTCCAACCGGGGAGAGGAAGAAAGGCGAACCTTTGTAGCTCTGACATGCAGACCCCATTGACGTGAGTCATCACTACTGGAAACAAAGGGGAGCATTGTGAACCTGGGCACAGGTGTGCCATTTCATAAATGCCTTGGGGGCCACTAAGTCAGAAGGGGAAGGAGACCTTGGCGATAGCAACTCTCCAAGGGTGCCCACCGACTCTGCGTTACATGCAAACACTTGCAGCCTCTATCTCAGATGCACACTCTTCATTATGCAATGTGCGGCTGCAGTATTAGGACAACATGCTTGCAGCTCAGACAGAGACATGTCAGGGTTTTTGCAAACCAAACAGCTTCTGCTGCTATTTTGCATAGGAAGCGGCCTCAAACCAGGTCAGCCTAATTGTACATGTAATCCAATATGTCTTCCTCTGACTGGGAGCAGCTCTATCATAACCAATCATATCATCATAGAACCTTAAGAGTTGGAAGGGGCCCCAAGGGTCATCTAGTCCAACCCCTGCAATGCCAGAATCTCAGCTAGAGCATCCATGACACATGGCCACCCAATCTCTGCTTAAAAACCTCTAAGGAAGAAGAGCCCACCACCTTTCGTGGGAGTCTGTTCCACTGCCGAACAGCTCATAACTGTCAGAAAGTTTTTTCGAAAGTTTAGTTGGAATCTCCTTTCTTGTAACCTGAAGTCAATGGTTCGAGTCCTATCTTCCAGAGCAGGAGAAAACAAGCATGCTCCCTCTTCCATTTTTGGATATTTGAAGATGGCTATCCTATCTCCTCTCAGTCTCCTCTTTTCCAGGCTAAACATACCCAGCTCCTCTATGTTGTTATGATATATACCTGACCCCCCAAAAGCGAACGAAAATTGGGATCTCCCCCTTAAAAAAAGCTCAACAACTTGGGTAGATCACTACAATTCCCCCCCAGGAGTAGATTGCAGTCTTTTGGGAGTTGGACGTCCCTTATATATCATATGATAATATAGGCTACAGAGAATCTTTTTCCATCAGCTACTGCCTGATCTTTTCAAGTAGAGAAGCCAAGAACACAGGACAAACATAGCACTCCTGGGCATAAGAAATGGTTTGGGTATGAAGCAAATCAATGGGTAGGGCACCTCCTGCATCTGCTACATCCACTCCCTGATGTACGCTTCACTCTGTGGCCTGAGCAACTCATTTGTTGTGTCTGGGAAAAGAGGAAACGACCACAGTTGCCAGATAGCTCCAAGGAATCATCCTTCATCGTTCCTGCAAGTGAAGTGGGTGTAGACCTCGCAGGTGGTGAAAGGGGTGTTTACTCGCATATGTACCCAGAAGAGCTTCAGCCAAAAGGTATATTTTATGCCGAAAGAGGGTTGCTGGTTTTGCATAATCATTTAGAACGTGTAGCACCCAGGAAATCTGAAAACATGGCCCAGTGTCCATCAGCTGGAGAGCTGAAAGTCAAAGTGGGCCAAACTGAGCTGCCCCCAAATTATATCCTCCAGAGATTTGTACACATTCAGCATGTTTCCTGCTTTAATCTCCAGGAGAGGCAGCATAATGTCTTTGGTGGGGGCGGCCGTTGTCGCTCGCATACAAATCTGTAATGGCTACAAATTTGAGTTGAAACTGATGGGGGTAATATTGCAATGAAGTTAAAAGACTTGCCCTCTACTCCTTATTGGGCAGGGGCTTTTAATGCATATAGAAAAGGTTAGCTTTTTAAAATTAAAAACTATATAAAACTATGCATGGGGCAGAGAAAGTGGACCCAGAAAAGTGCTTCTCCCACTTTTACGACACCGGAACTCAGGGCCATTCCATGAAGCTGAACATTGGAAAGGCATGTGCAGGCAAAATGGAAGTACTTCTTCACATAGCTAAACTCTGGCATTCAAATCACAGCTTGGAATTTAACAAAGCCCACAGGTAACAGTTGCGCATAGTTCCTTGGGAGTAAGTCCCAGTGACCTTAATAGAATTTACCTCCAAGTGAGCATACATGCAAGAAAGCTGTCTAATCTTATGTACTTCTTAAAATACCAAGGGAACCAGCACTTGTATCCAATGCTGCCAACCACTGGAACAGCAGACTTTTGCTTGCCCAATGAAATTTCAGCCTCCTCCCCTCTCCCCGCACACTCTAGGCTTGGGGGCTTCTTGGAGAAGATTTGCAGGAGGCAGGGGAGAAGGGCAAGAGGAAGTTCCATTACACGAGCAGAACACGGCACGTGCCACATTAGATACAACCCAGAAGCTATTTTTAATGCTGGTACAAGACAGCATTCAAGGGTTGGTTTCCGGGATTCACTATAGGTGGAGTGCCGATGTTTTAACCTAAAAATGTGACCGATGTCTTTGCCAAAAAGGACAAAATACAGGGGACCTCTATCAGGGACCTCCCTTTAGCTACAGCTCCCTGCTGAGTGTACAGTCTATGGGAAAACCCAGGTTTACTGTGTAATGCATGAAGTGGCTCCACAAAGAGAGAACAGGCAAAGCTCTATCCAACCTCCCCTGTCCCAATCTTTTCCGAAATTCAAAACGAAAGCAACTCGGCTTACTGCTTATGTGTCCGATGCTTCATTGAACGACATTGGTGCCCCTTTAGCTCAGTTCATTGAGAGTATGGCTTATTTGGTTTTTTAAAAAAACTGAAATATATTACAAAGAAGCACCAGCTAACTTTACCGTGCAGTTCCTGCTCGCTTGACTTTGGGCTGCTTCTTGCTCTGCGTTCGGTTTTTTTCACGACGGGCACGGCTGCTCCTCCTCCTCCTCCTCCCCCGTTCGCGGCTCCGTTGTGAGCCTTGATGGTGCCATTGTAGACTGGGGAACAGTTTCCTAGATGGCTCTTGTAGATGGACGAAGGGGGGCTGTTCAAACGGTTTTGGCGATCGATCTGCCGTTCTTTGATTTTTTTGTGCGGTGGTTTGTTGTACTGATCTTCCCTGGTTATGTAACTGGACATTCCATATAGTGGTATAATCTCTGAAATTTACAGAAAAGAAACAGGTTCAGCTTAGACTCCAAAGCCAGCTTCCTCAGCACTCATTTACCACCACAATGAAAAACACTGCTTGCGTTCCCACACAACACTAAACTTATCAGGACCATGAGATTTCCCAAAGAGGAGGTTGCAGCTGCTTTCCTCCTCCCAAGCCCTCTTTCCTGCCGAGTTGAGCTAAGCCAAGACTTGGAATAACAAGTTATCCAATCCAGGAATGGTGGTGAAGCTCTAGGTCTCACTAACCATGAGCTGTAGCCAAGGCTTGTTCTTGGTTAAGGAGACAGCATGACCACAAGTCCCAGCTTAGATGAAATGCAAACCAAACCTTGGCTTGGTTCAATATGGTGCAGCGGTAAAGAAAAGACGGAGGAAGGAACAAAGTGGAATCGCGCTCCATGTTTTTGTTGAAGCTTCAACATGTACTTGTTGTTTGCATGGTAAACAAGTCAGGTTTACCATGCCGTGTGAATCAGATCACCGAATATAGTGGTACCTCTGGTTAAGAACTTAATTCGTTCCAGAGGTCCGTTCCTAACCTGAAACTGTTCTTAACCTGAAGACCACTTTAGCTAATGGGGCCTCACGCTGCCGCCACGCTGCCGGAGCACAATTTCTGTTCTCATCTTGAAGCAAAGTTCTTAACCCGAGGTACTATTTCTGTGTTAGCGGAGTCTGTAACCTGAAACGTATGTAACCTGAAGCGTATGTAACCCGAGGTACCAGTGTACTTGCATCCTATTGACACTGTACTCTTCTAAATACAGTGGTACCCCTGGTTACGTACTTAATTTGTTCTGGGGGTCCGTTCTTAACCTGAAACTGTTCTTAACCTGAAGCACCACTTTAGCTAATGGGGCCTCCTGCTGCTGCCGCTGCACGATTTCTGTTCTCATTCTGAAGCAAAGTTCTTAACCCGAGGTAATATTTCTGGGTTAGCGGAGTCTGTGACCTGAAGTGTCTTTAACCTGAAGCGTATGTAACCCGAGGTACCACTGTACATGCAAATGCTTCAGCGTCAAGTCAAGGTGTCTCATAGAGCCAGTAGGCATGTGTCAAACCTAGAATATTTTTTATTTCAGCTTTTCAAACATAATGTGAGCAAGAGCCCTAGAAATGCAGATGCCTGAAATTAACATTTTGCACCACGAGCCAATCCTGATAATCTTGCCCATTCTTGTCTAAAAAAGAAACTGGCCATCCTTTAATTTGAAAATGTCCTCCGAGCAAATGCAGCCAAGAACCGCAGGTGACCACAACAACAGATGTTTTGTTACAACTTGTACCGTATCTTCACTGAAGAAGCTGAGAGGGAGGGAGGGAGGGAGGGAGGGAGGGAGGGAGGGAGGGGGGCTTTCTTCAGTTACTACAGTCCTACGTGGGCACCTCCTTTGCTAGATCCCGGTCATTCCTTTATATGTTTAGCACATTTGCATCAAATCTGTGAAGGGCACAGAATATGCTCATCCATGCACATCTGCTCAGCTGCAAAATGCATCTTCTGCAGTTGCAGAATCTGGGAAATATTGCAGCACAAAATGCTAGAGTTGTGAGCATAGCTTATATAATGATACGTGGACTTTTTCCAAACTTGCTCCAGACCTAAAAGCATATCCCAAGACCTAAAAGACTTTCAAGCACCGAGGAATGAAATGGAAGACTACTATTCATAACTCTCTGCATGGCAAAGCTCTGCCTCTCATGTCCTAATTCTAAACACATGTCAAAGGGCTTTATTTCCATAAATTATAGGTTGGGCCAAGTCAACCTTCACCTAAATTTACTGTGCGGCATCTGAAACTCCATGGGGAGGCAGGAGCCTCTGACCACAGGGTTAAGCTCAGCATCATGGCATTGCCAGTTCCTCTGCAGCCACATGGAAAACGGTAATGCCAGGCATAGCTGTGTACACTGCACAGCTCATTAAGGGCTACACCGGAGACCCTGCTCACAGTTCTCTCAATGAAAAAGGAGGCAAGAAATGCTATGGGGAAAGTGTGGCTTTTTCAGTACAGTGGTACCTCAGGTTACATACGCTTCAGGTTACAGACTCCGCTAACCCAGAAATATTGCTTCAGGTTAAGAACTTTGCTTCAGGATAAGAACAGAAATCGTGCTCCGGCGGCGTGGCAGCAGGCCCCATTAGCTAAAGTTTAAGAACAGTTTCAGGTTAAGTACGGATCTCCGGAACAAATTAAGTACTTAACCCGAGGTACTACTGTAATGGCCCCAAATATATGCAACAGACTGCTCACGGAGCCCCTCTGGAGCCCAGGCTTATTGACTTAGGAAAAATGTGCTTTTGTTGGGGGGAGTTACTTATTTATAGCTTTTATAAATCTTAGGTTTTACGTTGTCTACTGAGTATTTTGGGGTTGAGTATATCACCGTAACAAATTGTGATACTTCCATCGTGTTGTTTTATTCATTCATTTAATAAATGTGTATTCTGCCCCATACCCGTAGATCTCAGGGCATTTTTATGAAAACAACAATTGATAGTGAAGCATTTTCATCTGCACCAAAGGCTATATAGCTCATGGGACTCCCCCCTAAAGGAAGCAGCAATCCCATCAGTGGGGAAAATGAGCTCTGAAAAGATGTGATTGTTCAAAACACCTGGGGCGAAGGGACTTAGCTCAGGGGCAATAGCATCGGCTTTGCAAGTAGAAGGTCCCAGATCCAATATCTGGCGTCTCCAATGCACGGCTAGCAGAGACCCCTGCCTGAAACCCTGGTGAGCTGCTGCCAGCCAGTGCATGCAGTACTGACCTAATGGTCTGACTTGGTATAAGGCAGCGTCCTATGTTGAGAAACTCGCTGCAAAATCCCTGCTGCTGTTTTGAATCCTACCATTTGGGTATGACGCAGATTAACCACATCTATCAGGAACAATTCTGCTCTCAATTGCTTTCAGTTGCATGTCTTGCATTCTGATGACATATCTTAAATGGGAAAGGGTCTCCCTTCGCAGCACACATGAAGAAGAGCATCTCTGATGTAGGATTCTGCTCAAATCTCTCGCACACAATAAAGATGGCCCTGTTACCCTCAGGGACCATGAGACGGTTTCACAGTGACCCACTGCACATTCTTTTCGAGAAGCAGGCAAAAGATTGTTGTTGGGAGTTGTGTGTTTTTTGCAAAACAAATAAATGACACCTCTCGTCTTTTCCATTTTTGAGAAGTCACCAGCATGACTTCACATGACATGAGGGATAAAGGTGCTTTGTCTCTATTCATTAGCGACCAAACAGGGGACTCGTGTTTGCTTCTTTCTGACAGTGGTCCTTGCCTGCAGGGCAAGGCTTGTCAGATCTAATTTTCTTTGCTAACCTGACTGCAGCTGGCTAAACACAAACGCACCGGACAAGCACAGCCACCACCCCTCGCGCGGATGGTAGGAAGCCTTGGTCCTGAAGAGTCCCTCAGATGCTTACCCAGCCTCTTTCTGAAGGCCTCCAAGAAAAGCGATTCCCCATTTATGACAAGCTAGGCCAAAGGCCGGTCTTTTCTCTCCACCCTGAACCAGATATCCAACAGCAACTCTCAGGCAACTACTATCCAGAGGCATCTTGCCTCCAACTCCCCTGGTCTTATAATTAGGAATTTCTCCCTAACCCTAACACTTCATCGAAAGCAGTCCCTCCCAGCCAGCGAGCCCCTAACAGTGCTACAAAGCTCTAAAACGACTGGAGTCGTGAGCATCAGCACTCCTCTTCAGTGTGAGGAACTGCGATATGAAAGCTAGGAGCTTAATGGCACTTTAAACCTAGGTTATGGGCGCAACAACGGAATGTCTAGGCACACTTTATTATAACAAAAATACAAAGCTGAAAATGAACGAACTGCAGCTAAAATATTATGTTCGTTTTTCACCTGGTCTAGTCCGTCCCCTGCCCACCCCCCTAATCTTCTTCAGAGGGTCTCTTCTCCAGTCTTCAGAGAGTAGATGGAAGTGGGGAGGCAGAAAAAGGTCCCCTTTCCTTCCACCCTGCAGTTTTAATCTGAAATCTTATGCGCAGTACTGTGCCCAGAGCTCAGAAACTGCTTGCACTAATGATATAGTAAAGGTAAAGGGACCCCTGACCATTAGGTCCAGTCGTGGCTGGCTCTGGGGTTGCTGCTCTCATCTCGTTCTATAGGCCAAGGGAGCCGGCGTACAGCTTCCGGGTCATGTGGCCAGCATGACTAAGCCGCTTCTGGCGAACCAGAGCAGCGCACGGAAACACCGTTTACCTTCCCGCCGGACAGGTATCTATTTATCTACTTGCACTTTGACACTTTGACATGCTTTGGAACTGCTAGGTTGGCAGGAGCTGGGACCGAGCAACGGGAGCTCACCCCGTCACGGGGATTCGAACCGCCGACCTTCTGATTGGCAAGTCCTAGGCTCTGTGGTTTAACCCACAACACCACCCACGTCTCCGCTAATGATATACTCTGTCGTAAAATGTGCCTAGGACAACAGGAGTTTCGAACGCTGCTCCTCTTATAGCTGAAGGGGCAAACTGCTACATTTCACGGCAGGTCCTGACTTGTACAACTTCAAAGCCTGGTATTGATAATGAGGCAAATACTGCAAACATTTTTAAAAAATAAAATCCCTTCCCTGTAATACACCTGTAACTTCAATCAGCTTTGTATTGTACACATTTTGTTTCTTTTTTAAAAAGAACCGTGCAAAATACGATCTGGGGGAAAACAGCAAAATACACGAAGTCCAGATAGTTGAAGAGGCTCACTGGGTAGGGCAGAGTCGCTATGCTTGATTCCCAAGTGTCAGGTGGCTGTTGCTTATAGGGAAGGAGAGGGTGATGCAGAAAGGAGGGCAGCATGGTGGAAACGCATTGGCAGGATGCTGGGTCGGCTCTGCCGGTGTGTTTGCAATGTGCCCATCTCCCTGTGAGCAACAGCGACCCCCTGTTGGGAGGCTAGCATAGCACCCAGCGAGCTGCTCCTGCCAGGCTAGAAACCCCACACCAGTTGTCCTCTTACCTTGCTCTCCGTAGATTGTAGGAGGGAGATGATGCTGAGGGAAAAACTGGGGTGGCATGTCTCCAGGCCCAGTCACCGGTGGGTAGAAAGCCGTATGAGAGTTATGAATGAAATGCGGGTGGTGAGTAAGATACGGGGGTAAGTGGTGGGTCGGAGAAATGGCGGAAGGGTAGCTGGGAGGGTAGCACTCCGGAGACTGAGGTGTGACCACCACCCTGCGAACACCCGTGTTGTCTTCTATTACCTGCAGAAAAAGAGGAGGCAGCAAGGTTGGTATAACGGATGCAATTCGCAGGTGAAATAATTTTAAGACGCACAGATTTTATTCCCATTAATAATAATAAAAAGCTTTTCATGGTCAGGAAGAATAACGTCCATATCCAAGCACCAGCACTTTTGGTGGTAACGTCGTTCACAGCAGACACTCAGGCAGCCACACTAATTATAGCAAGGCATTCCGTAATTGCTTTATCAATGGAATTTTGAATGGAGATCAAAGGAAAACCGAAATACGTGCACCAGCGGCCCCTTTGATCAGACAAACCTTGCCTTTATTCATGAACACCGAACAGCACAGACAGAGCTAACGGTGAACAATGCATTATTTATTTGCAACGAAGCAAAAACCAAAAAAACGTAAGAATCCACCATTTCGGATAAGGAGCTATAATGGGCAAATGATAAATTAGGATCGAACACTGCCCATCTGTGGATATCCTACCTGAGAATACCCCTAATCCTGGAGCCAGAGCTGACCCCTACACCTCTTTTTAATTAAATCAGCTCAGTCACCTTCCACATGTCCCTGAAGCACACAAGATGTGCCTGACGTCTACTTTGTACTGCAGAAAGCGCCCAGTTCCAAGTTTTAGTTGGGGGTGTCTTAATAGGGTTCATGTCCCATAATGGGCATCTCCTTGGCCACTGTAAGAATAAAATGTTGGACTAAGTGGGCAATTGGCCTGATTTAGCAGAGATCTTCTTACGTTCGTGCTTAGCTCTCCCCACTGAAATCAGTCGCCAAGAACTAAGTTTTGGCTAGGCTATGCCTAAAGTTTTTGACAAATAACGGTATATTACATTTGACTCTGGGTATGTTTTGGGGGAAAGTTCTCTATGGGGAGATTTAAAGTTTATAGTCATGTTTCTAAAAGGTAAATTGTATTTTCATTGTGACCTTGGGAATTAACAGAGACTCAATACATTTGAACAGATTTACCCAAGACTTCATAAAGAAATCATATCTGCGTTTCCTTCAGGCTTAGATAATGTTCTGTCTGACTTTACAGGTTCACGCAGCCCAGCACTTCGAGTCTATATAAGCTATGAGTTCCTCCCACTGTCCGTCCCAAGAGAACAAGGTTTTCTGGACTGTGTTGGAAACAGAGCTGGGCCAAAAAAGGAATCACTTTTCACGAAAACTTCAGCCAGCTTTGAAAAGTGTAGCCCCCCCACCCCACCCGGCAACTTTCAGTGAATGTTGAAGAATAGGTAAAACATAGGCCAACTTATTCATAGCCACTTTTACTTCTGGGCAACCTTATGAAGGCCACATGCTGGTGGGGCCAGAGGCAAAAGTAGGAGGAGCAAAGAATCATAGAACTGTAGAGTTGGAAGGGACCTCAAGGGTCATCTAGTTCAACCCCCTGCAGGAACCTCAGCTAAAGCATCCATGACTGATGACCATTCAAACACAAATGTAAAAACTGTCTTTCCACAGTAGGGTAGTTTCTCCATATAAACACACACACCCCTTCCTCTTTATACTCTACCCAGATGAGCAAAAGGCATTATCAGAATTCAAAGGCCCATTTTAACCAGGTAAAGACAACAGGGGTGCAACAGTGGAACAACAGTGAGGAGGTGTGGTCTGGGGAGATGGGACATGGCTTAGAGAGAGGCCCAAGGGTCAGAGAGAAGTCTGAGGGCAACATCTGGCCCCGAGGTTCTCCACTGCTACCCTACATAAAGCAATTCAGCAGAGCACTCCAAAGTTGACATCACCTCATATAGTCAAGTAATCAAGCCAAGAGAGGACATCTACTGTGGCCACACAGCAAACTGACTTGAGCAAACCAGAACACACTCAAAAAACCAGCACCTCAGCAAGCAAAGAAAATACAAGAAATAGAAGGGACTCTGTATTGACACCCTGTGACGTATGTTTTCGAACTTATGGGTTGCAACTTAACAGCGGTATTAAGCATATATATATACAGTGGTACCTCGGTTTTTGAACGTAATCCATTCCGGAAGACTGTTCGAGTTCTGAAAAGTTCAAAAACTGAAAACTCAACAGCTAGGCCTCAGAATCTTGCACTCAGCGGAAGCCACGTGGCATGTTTGACTTCTGAGGCATGTTCCAAAACCAAAGCATTGATTTCCAGGTTTACGGCATTTAAAAGCTGAAATGTTTGTCAATGGAGACATTCAAAAACCGAGGTACCACTGTATATATATAGCACTATCAAAGTACATAATGTTTTACGGAATGGGCAGCAAGAAATAGATCATTGGCTGCAAGTAGCTTACAAAACTAAGGCTTCAGCAGTGAGGAGAAACACAGGCAAGGATGGGAAGAGACAGAGGTGGCTTCTCCATTCTTCTTTGTGTTTCAGAAACAGGGGGAGTTGAGGGAAGGGAGATCTTCGAGGAAGAAGCAAAGGATTGGGGAGGATCGCAGAGCAGTTGGAAAAGGAGCCCCCATCCTGTAACCCCATAAACATTGTGCACCTTTCTGGTTTAAAGAGGCTCTACACCTGTTCACAGCAAAGCTACAGGGAACCAGGCAGAGAGCCTTCTCGGTAGTGGCACCCGCCCTGTGGAATGCCCTCCCATCAGATGTCAAAGAGATAAACAACTACCTGACATTTAGAAGACATCTGACGGCAGCCCTGTTCAGGGAGGTTTTTAATGTGTGACATTTTAATGTATTTTTAATTTTTGTGGGAAGCCGCCCAGAGTGGCTGGGGAAACTCAGCCAGATGGCCAGGGTACAAATAAATTATTATTATTATTATTATTATTATTATTATTATTATTCACCTGCTGATTGTCAACAAAGCCCATCTTGCCCCACACAAGCCAGCTCTTTCTGCAGATCGTTTTCCCAGAACCTAGGTGGCTTCAATCCAGAGCTTCAATCAATGGGCAGCAAAGGTAACGTTTGAGGCTAAAACTCCGTAGTCCAAAGTTGGTGCAACAAAATGGGGTGGGGTGGGTTTTATAGCTTTCACCTAATAGGCCTTGTTACTTCTCCACAGGGGTATCTGCTTTCTGCCTGGCTCTCAAGACACAGCCTTCCAAGGGCCGACCAAACCAAAGTCAAAATATGTTTTCGTTCACAAGCTGGAATGTTCTTATTTCCTTTACATCCTTGTCATCCCAGTGCCAAAACAAACAGAAGGCAAATTAAATAATCACTCAATAGTCCTATTAATTACCGACATCGCTGGGCCCGGGCAAGAGCAAATAAGGCGAACACAGCTATTATAACATCAGCACCAACAAACAACAACAGAAAAGCTACACCAAGTGACTACTACGTGCTTCAAGCTGTTACTTGGTATGAAGTCATTTGAAAAAACAGAACATTCGTTTTCCACATGGCGGGAAGTACGTTTCAATTCAACGGGGAAAATGTGGGGCGGGGAGAAGAGAGAGAGACAAAATATAGCTTTTCCTATGACTACACGGCCAGCTGCTATATTCAGATGTTAAAGGGCTGATTTCACAAAGCTTACTCTTCGTGGTAATGTAGAGCAGCCCTAGATGCAAGAGGAGGGAGGAGGGACGAAGATCAGATAGGGACGTCCAAATGGATGGTCCAGGGATAGTTGGGAGAGATCTTCCCCTTCTGCCTCTATCTAACCCTAACCCTGCGGAAAGCCATCTAATTAGACTTTAATTTGATTTTGACCTGTTTTTAGGAGGTAATTTAATTATTGTTTGATTTTATTCTAATGTTATACAGTGGTACTTCGGGTTAAGTACTTAATTCATTCCGGAGGTCCGTACTTAACCTGAAACTGTTCTTAACCTGAAGCACCACTTTAGCTAATGGAGCCTCCTGCTGCTGCCGCGCCGCCAGAGCCCGTTTTCTGTTCTTATCCTGAAGCAAAGTTCTTAACCTGAAGCACTATTTCTGGGTTAGCGGAGGGTTATTTCTGGGTTATTCGGCCGGGGAGGGTGGGATATAAATAAAAGTTGTTTATTATTATTATTATTATTATTATTATTAGTCAGAGAGGAGGAAGCAGATCTGCAAACCCTCTTCCCCATTCCTTCTGCGGAGTTCCATGGGAGGGTGGCTTTGACCAGCCAGCAGGAGGGACTCAACAAGAGGCATTTTGAGCTGGAGGCAAAGAGGAAGTACACAATTTTGTCGCCTAGTACCCTGCGGGTGTCTTCATGGGTGGGATCAGGTTGCCACCATGAGGGCTAGAAGCTTGCGCACGAAAAGAGAGAGAAGGCAGGATGTTGAATTCCGTGCAAATGTTTGAAATGACACATCCCTGCCGGCACCCAAATTCTTTTGCTGAAAAAAGCATACCTGTGATATATAACCTGGAGGCACATGTATGGGAGGAATAGATCCATTTGGCGACATCATGGGAACCTCTGCGGGTCCTGTGAAGACAGAAAGAGGAAAAACCAAACGATTAAGATATGCTTTATGTTCATGTGTACTGTGCTGAAAGACTCTAGGACATCTGCAGAACCAGTTTTGATATCGACATGCTGTACAGTGGTACCTCTAGTTATGAACTTAATTTGTTCTGGAGGTCCGTTCTTAACCTGAAACTGTTCTTAACTAGAGGCGTGCTTTCACTAACGGGGCCTCTTATTGCGGCTGCGCAGCCGGCATACGATTTTCATTCTCATCCTGGGGCAAAGTTCTCAACTCAAGGTATCTCTTCCAGGTTAGCGGAGTTTGTAACCTGAAGCATTTGTAACCTTGTTTGTAACTCAAGGTACCACTGTCTCCCCAGAAGCACATAGCTGATACCACCTCAATTGCTCCTCACACATCACTCCAGGAATGTTTAAGAACTTCCACTCATGTAGTTGGGCTTCCTGGCATATTTACATAACCCACAAGCAACACCAGTCCCCTTGGGAGAGATATAACTTGTTCCACGAGTGCACCTTATAAACATTTAAAGTGAAACAATCTGACTGGAAGGTTTTTTGTTTGTTTATTTGAATATATAAACATAAAGTGAAAATAATAATATAAACGTGTTTCTAGGCAAAAGTGGGTGAAGCCACATTATTCCAGTTGCATATAACTGGTGTTTTTATTAGAATTTCTGAACCAATTCAATCTAGAATTATAATCAGCAAACACCAGTGCCAATTTTGTGAACAACTGATTTATTACATTTGTTTTCCACAAGCAGCTTAGGGTGGCATACTTGAAATCACACTATTTTTACCTCCAGGTGAAACCTACAGGGTAGGTCAGGCTGACACATGTTGACTTCCAAAGGCCAGACAGCGAATTTCATGGCTGGGCAGTGAATTGAGCGTGTCTCCTCAGCCAAAATGCAACACTATCAGCTCTTCTACCATGCCCCTCAAAATCTACACCAGACTCCCACAAGCCAGTGCCCTCCAGACGTTTTGGTCTACACCACCCCTTGGCCACAAGGATGGCACCAGGCTGGGTGCAAGAGAAGGCCTTCAAGAAGGCTGGCACTATACCCCAGAAGTGGTCATGCCCATTATATGGCTTTGCATAGAATTCAATCTTCTGGAGGTCTAAGTCCACGACAAGCCACCCTCAGTAAATCATAATAATCTAGCAAATATTCTACGATTTATAAATCACTGTAAGAGTCTGTAAAGGGCTTCACATATATACAGTGGTACCTCGGGTTAAGTACCGTATTTTTCGCTCTATAAGACGCACCAGACCGTAAGACGCACCTAGTTTTTGGAGGAGGAAAACAAGAAAAAAAATATTCTGAATCTCAGAAGCCAGAACAACAAGAGGGATCACTGCGCAGCGAAAGCAGCGATCCCTCTTGCTGTTCTGGCTTCTGTGATAGCTGCGCAGCCTGCATTCACTCCATAAGACGCACACACATTTCCCCTTACTTTTTAGGAGAGAAAAAGTGAGTCTTATAGAGCAAAAAATACGGTACTTAATTCGTTCCGGAGGTCCATACTTAACCTGAAACTGTTCTTAACCTGAAGACCACTTTAGCTAATGGGGCCTCCTGCTGCTGCCACGCCACCGGAGCACAATTTCTGTTCTCATCCTGAAGCAAAGTTCTTAACCTGAAGCAATATTTCTGGGTTAACGGAGTGTGTAACCTGAAGCGTATGTAACCTGAAGCATATGTAACCCGAGGTACCACTGTAATGCTGGGATCCTTAGAACCCCATGCAGTAGGTCAGTATTATTGTAGGGGTTGTGGGGGATGAGGCTGAGAGACATTGGCTCACTCAAAGCAACCTAGTGAGGTCATAGCGCATCATGAGAGAGACAAACCAGGAACTTTCCAAATTTGCACCTTGGTCTCTTAGCCGTTGTGATACATCAGTTCTTGAAACTGCTTAGTGATCCACACACACTGACTGGCATTCACAAAGGTCTGCAGGCACACATTAACTATCACGACAACACATACAACCACACAAAACCAGATGGATAATACTGGGGGAAGGTCTGAGCCTTATTGGCCCTGGGCAAGTGAGCTGGTCGCTGCCCAATTTCAAGCCTACGTGTGGCATCTGCATTGACACCTATTGAGCAAACAGGTACAGTACGGTAAAGGAGCAAAGGGAGTAGCCATTCACAAGGATCTCCAGTTTGTAAGCCTAGATGAAACTTTCCCTTCCAAAAGTTTCCGATCGCGCTCAGTTTTTACATATGTGAAGAACTATCTCAGGAACATATGAAGACCACAAAACTCATTACCTCAGCAGTTTGGATTAACCAAGGAATGTGGTTATATAAGCAAGAGACTTAAAAGTTTCCACTCAAAACTCCAACCTTGGATGTCGAAAGTTCCTTTCTGAAGTATCAAATGCAAATACAGCAGCTCATGTGCCATAAGCATTAGGGCGCCGAGCTACATAAATCTAGGTAAAATGGAAAATAGGAAACCATACAGGGAATGGTTTAAAGGCACCATATGTCTTACTTCTACAATGATTCTAACTGAAATGCCGGAAGACGTCTAAAATTCCAGGTCTGGAAATTTCACCATCAAGAGGCATGCTTTCCACAAACTTAAATTACAAATTGGTGGCTTTCTGGTTATCATGACCAAAACGCCTTGGTCACAACATCAGAAATAAAGTCTCTGCTTCTTGCATTCTATCATGAGATAGGCTGTGCCATTCCTCAGTGATAGAAGTATCTGTTTTGCATGCAGAATGTCTCGGGTTCAATCCTGGCGTGTAGGGCTATGAATGTCCCCCATTTCAAATCCTGGAGAAATGCGACCAGCCAGTAGTCAATATTGAGCTCGATGGACCAATGGTTTGATTCAATGTCAGGCAGCCTCCGTCGTTTCCTATAAGTACAGCTGGGAGTACATAGGCCATAACTTTTGCAGATGAATTTACAGTGGTACCTCTGGTTATGTACTTAATTTGTTCCGGAGGTCTGTTCTTAACCTGAAACTGTTCTTAACCTGAAACACCACTTTAGCTAATGGGGCCTCTTGCTGCTGCTGCGCCACCACCGCACGATTTCTGTTCTCATCCTGAAGCAAAGTTCTTAACCCGAGGTACTTTTTCTGGGTTAGCAGAGTCTGTAACCTGAAGCGTATGTAACCTGAAGTGTATGTAACCCGAGGAACCACTGTATTTACAAGGCTTGTCATAAACTGAGGCAAAGAGGAGTGACACAGATACTCACAGACAAACACACGCTACCTTGAAACAGTTGTTAAAAGCTTCCGGTCTCCATCAAGATAAAATTATCCGTCACTAAGAGCCATTAGAAGCAATAGGAATTAAAGTCAGACATGCACCATTCGTTTATATGGAATTTAGGCTGCAACCCTGCCCCCCAAGCCTCAATGAATTGAGTCTTACTTCTGAGTAGACATGGTTAGGACTGCAAGTGTGACTCTCTAGCTGGATCAAGAGTGTAGCATTTAACTGATCAGCTTCTCAAAAGCTGTCTTGGGCTCCATGGGTATTACTTAACGCAATACATATCCACCCCCAATCATGTTTTATCTATCGTTAAAACACGTCCTTATGAGGGCTTTTTTAAAGCCAGCACCTCTCAGGTGAGAGCCATTGCCATTCTAAAAGAACAAGGGGGGTGTTTGTGATGAGTATAGAAATATAACACTGGTCCTTATTAACAAGTCCCTATCAGATATGTCAAAATCTCCTCAAAATTAACACACATGCCCTGCAATTCGAGAATTACAAAAAATTCTGCACTTTTAAGTTCTCACACCTAAGCAGGCGCTAACTGCTTTGACACTCAAATTGGCCCCGTTATAGAACCTGTCTGAGAAACATCTGTCAATCCGTCTATAAAGTAACAGCCGCCATTCGGGATGAAACCAAACTCTCACATGCAACAGACTCTGCTGTCTGTAAATGCCTCGGATTCAATGTTTTAAAAATTGCGTTTTATCGTCAGAAGTGCTCTGCACAAGCAGACTCTTAACCTCAGGTGTGACCCTCAGACTGTTAAAGTCATTTGGGGAAAGGGCTTTAAAGAATGTTGGACAGGTGAATGATTTACTGCTGTATGATGTTTTCTTCGCTGCCTCTATTTCAGGGCTGGGCAAATGACTTTAGCACACATTTCATTTCTCGTCTCCCGTTGCCGCTATCAAAACAACTTGGAAGTGGGGACTCTGCGTTAGACCTAGAAACCGTCTCCCGCCTGGGACAACTCAGTGCATCTATTAAAAGACTGGCCTTGGCAACACGACCCACATAAACGAATGCTAAACTCACAGAAAGAAACACTGCAATTTTATATACTGCTGTTTTATCGTAGGTTTTGAACATACAGTATATATATATTTTAATGAATAGCTCTGCTTTGAGCGCACATGCACACATATATATATATGTGTGTGTGTGTGTGTGCGCGCGCGCATGCAAAGTAACGCTGGTCGCGCTGTGGGTTAAACCACAGAGCCTAGGACTTGCTGATCAGAAGGTACCGCTCCGGCGGGAAGGTAAACAGCGTTTCCGTGCACTGCTCTGGTTTGCCAGAAGCGGCTTAGTCATGCTGGCCACATGACCCAGAAGCTGTACGCCGGCTCCCTCGGCCAATAAAGCGAGATGAGCGCTGCAACCCCAGAGTTGGTCACGACTGGACCTAATGGTCAGGCGTCCCTTTACCTATATATATGCATGCCAAAGATGGCTTGCAAGAAGACAATAAGAACTTACAAATATCAATGGCGAGAGTCATTTCCTGAATGGACAGAACTTAGCACTTAGAAACAATTTGTAAGGAAGGAACCATTTGTAAATTATCATCATCATCATCATCATCATCAATAATAATAATAATAGTAATAATTTATTTGTACCACACTCATCTGACTAGGTTGCCCCAGCCACTCTAGGCGGCTTCCAACAAATTTCTAAACATAATAAAACATCAAACATTAAGGGCTGCCTTCAGATGT